TGCAAAAGGCACATAAAGGGGATTCTACCATTTTGAACCGGTGAAGTTTTTTATTAGTGAAAATAATCAGGTTTAAAATTTTATATTGGAATTCTCTTAAATTGGTGTCTAACGTAGTTTCAAAGTACTTAGGACCGAGGCCATTTAAAACCTTGTAGGTTCATTCATTCTGTTTATTTTGCCTTTTTACTTCATGTACAGTATTTATAAATATTTTAATGTGAGGCGAGGTGACCTCTAGAAACCATCAGGCTTTTAGTTGAGGCCACCTCGTTCGTAACAATACGGTTACATAAATAGTGCAACAGTAGGTAATGAGACGAATCTTAAAGGCGAAACGTTTATACACAGGCAGCCAGTGTAGCTTACGGAGAATTGGAGTGATGTATTCTATTTTCCTTGTTCTTGTGATGAATCGGGGGGCTGAGTTCTGAATAAGTTGGAGTTTGGAGGTCTCTTTATCCGGGAGACCGTACAAAAGACTATTCCAATAGTCCAACTTCGATGATACAAAGGCGTGTATCAATTTTTCCGTACTTGATTGAACGAGATACTGCCGAATAATCCCAATATACGCTTAGGGTGCTTCCTTTGTATTGCATTGCGCATCTCTAATGCGCACGATTTTCGCGTCATTAGCACACGCACATGAGCGCGTGCGCGTACAAAAAGCAAGAGATTTCCCTCAAGCTAGGCTCGACAGCGAAATAAATGCTCGACCCCCACTTTTTAACGCATGAATTTAAATAACACAAGGTTATCTACAATATATCTCGATTTGAAGAAAGGTTTTAAATTCTGCTTAAAAAATATTTTGATTTTAATGCTGTATTGTGTAAAGAACACGTTTTTAGTTAGTGCTGGGTGTGTGCGCACGTACAGAATTCTTAAGTTTGCAGTACAATCGTAACTCCTGTTTAACCAACATGGTTTAAAATGTAAGTTCAGGGTCTAGTTTGTTTAACTTCTCTAATAAATTAATCCAGTAAGAGCTTTTCTTAGAATTTCTAGTGCCACTTCCTGCTAACTAAGGTTAAGTAATTAAAACCTCGTCGGACGCAAAGTTGCTATAAAGGCCATCCATGTTGTGCAAAAACAATAACGGTGACCCCTATTTAGTCTTGCATTTTTCTAATATACATAACAAGATTACCTTCTTTTTAAGTGGAATTACTTTAAGGACATAGGATGCAGACTTGCAGAGGTTGCTAACATGAGTGAAAAATCAAGCGCATACCCCTACTCAAATTCCCAAAATGTCCCATGGGTATTACTTCTTTTTACAAGCAAACCTCTTCGTAATCTTAACGGTGTCCAGTGTGTCCGTTATCAATTTGTGACAATGCACAAGTGACAAGTACGATTCTGCTTCATGGTGCTTCTAGGGCAGTTCTTGAGTCACCGGAGGACAGAAAAAGTACGCCCCGCAGTAGCCGATGCCACTGTTAATGTCAAATACAACCTTACGAGTTTGTGGGCTACTCCCAGCGTTTTGAGAGAGCGGATTTGTTGAAAGCTTAAAGATCTTAACAAACCCATTTTAAGGTGGGGTAGCGATATTATTGGCACTGAAAAGTGGGGGTGTTATCCCTCCAGTTTTCGTTTGGAGTTTACAAACCACCCCTTCACTTCTACTCCGTCGCCTATGTTACGGTCAGCTGGCGGGGGCGCATAATACACCACTGCTCAGGCTCTCCGGACTTAAATATAGGAATAAAAGTTGTGTTACCTGATATCCATGAAATGTATAGTTTGAGTACTGATCAACCAAACAGCGGGACCTTTCTTTAAAGTTCTTCAGGGTTGAGTTACTCCACCATTTTCTTCTATTTCCTTCACTGTCGTATAATTTCCCTACATGAGAGGAAGGTTTTCTTTTACCAAAACGTGTTTTTAAATCCAGTAGACCATGTAAATCAGTTATAACAAAGCAACAATAGTAAAACAACAATGGACTTGAAAAGGTCGCAGAAACAACCGAATTACCTCAACCAGAACTGTTTTCAGCTAGAAATTGGACGTATCCTAGTTATATTTACAACTAAAATGGACTGGTTTATGGCATGAATATTTAACGTTTATCATTCCACCGTTGCCCCATTTTACCATATTAAGTCATGAGAACGCGCAAAACATAAACAGGTTATTGACCAGGCTTTTTGGTCAAGATGGCGAGATGTTGGCCAAGTTCTTTTTTTGCGTGTTTATGAACAGACCGAATAAGCTTGGTTAATAAGAGCTAATTATTTACTGAGTGGGAAGGCCGGATGGAAAATTATTTGGCAGGAGGTCCGTACGCCCTGACTGAGAGCCAAATATTTTCCTGTCTGGCCCGACCTTACTCAGTCCATAAGCATTTTATCACTTCGATGTTGGGTAGCCAAATCCGTGCACCTTGCACAGTGCCCTCTGAACCTGAGTAAAAAATGTTGCACACAACATTTTGAGCTCGAAATCAACTTTGTTTTTCATCTGTATCCGAAGAGTGCGTAACATGGCAGTCACTTGCTGTCCAATTTGTCCAACGGACCAATTTTCATATATTAAAATTCAGCCTAAAACAATAGACCTCAGCACGAGGCTCCTGGTGCTGAGGTCTATTGTGTTAGGCTGAATTTTAATTTATCAAAATTGGTCTATTCTACGAGGAAAAGAAGCACTATGAAAACACCGCTGGCCGTAACAATGAAGCTAATCAGTTGCTTACGAGTTGTGCGATCATCGTCGCTCAGTCACAAGTCCTGTCGCAACACCATCGATAACCTATGCCAAACTCCCCATTGTACTAACCTGTGTCATCAAATCCGTGAGTTATTTCATGTGCCATCACTCCTCCAATAGCACCATAATTCATTGCTCTAAAAAGCAGGGTCAAGAATGGTTGTTAGGTTGGTTTAATCACACAACTGACTGCTACCCACTGACATTCGTCATATTTTACTCAACCCTATTCAATAACAGATTTTATCAATACAACCTCGGTTGGAACGTTATCGTTCAAGGAACGAGACAACAACAAAAACAAGAGCATTAGAGAAGATTTAAACCAGCCTGTCAACGCTTTTTCGCTTTTATAATATATTTCTATTTCTCGGTTTTAAAATAATCAGCGTTCCTGATATCGATCCCTCCTTCCATAAATTCCAGCCCTCGGCTTCTCTTCCCTCTTCTCCTACAGATGCCCAATGGTTCATCGCCTCCCTTCCCTCCCTTCCAATAAACATTTATCGACCCCTCTCCTCTCACGGAGAAGTCAGTCGGAGAGTTCAAATATGGCCCTACTCAACCACAAAGCTAACGCAAGAAGCTCTATGAAGGCGCCTGAAACAGAGCGGTTAAGATTAGTTTCTTTTTGTTAGAGCTGGTTTCACTTAACGAATGAGTTGCCAGCAATCGGATACCCGTGTTTTGGCAAACAACTCTAGGATCGTCAAGGAGCAAACATTCTCGCCAGAAGGAAATGTATAGGGAAAAGTTGTTCCGAGGTAAAAAAAAAAAATTATGTGGAGAGATCAACGCTTTTTCGCCGTTGTTCCCAATTGGACTTGGGCAATGTTGATACATGGAAAATGTAAAATCGACCGATAAAACTCCCTTGCTTCCGTCAATTTACATTGAAGAGAATACCAACAATTTCAAAATACGCGTTATCTCGAGAGGCCACCCGGAGCAAATGGTAGAAAAGACCCTCTAAGGAGTTAAATATAAAGACAGAAAAGATCTAAAACAGTTCAAAGGGCTCTCAGAGCCAGCTCATTCATGTAATCACTAATTTGCATTACGCTCTTTGGTTAATATATAGATTTAGGCCAGCCTAAAAGCGTAGCTCCAATCGAAAAGCAGCACTTGGTCAGTGGTCAACTTAAAAAAAATACGTGATCTCGATGAGCTGTAAACTTGAGTCCGCGATATGGTCACGTGATACTGGTTAGCAGATACCTTGATTTGACAGGTGTCAATTGATCATGACATGGATGTCCAATATCAAAGAAGTACACGGTGAACTAAGGTTGCATGTCTCTGTCAACCTATTATTTGGAGTATGGCCGCCATGTTGTACGACTCCGTCGTCGTCGCCGTCGCCATCGCCATCATGCGCATGCGCCCACGAGCAATACCGTTAGCCATGATAGCCATGAGAAAATCAACTCATGGGTTTCCTATATGAGGATGGGGCTCCGCTTGGCGACCCTTCGGGCCGCCGGGGCTCCGCTATGAAATATTGGTACAGTTGAACCCCGTTAATTGGAACCCTCAAGGGAAACGACAGTCTGAAATTGCAGAGGTTAAGTTCAAATAGACTGTAAGACATCATTATTCTTCAGAAAATATCGACCATATTCCTTATGGGGATTGGAAATCCGACAGTCCCCTTCGTGGGGGGAATAGGCATTATCTGGGATCAGACATTGTTGATCCATTCCCATGAACACCAAAACCTGACAAATCACTTTGAACTAATTGCCAATGGTAGAAACTTGGGAAGATTAAAGGTCAGCTTTTGGCACTAGGAGCTCTTTGATGGATTGCGTAACCAGTTGGTCGATGGTTGCCTTTGAAAACCATTGATCAATCATAGCTCACATAATATTTTTTGTATCTGAACCATCCCAGTAATGGTAAAAGTAAAGTCTGCCTACAAACCGAGTGGCCTATCAGGCCAGAGCTAATATCCCGGTTTCTGTAGCATGAAGTTACTTAGAGTATTTCTACTGGCCCCTGAATGGGATGCAAGTCCATCACAGGCTTACCCCCAGAACTAAGTTCACCGGTACCAATTTATACACCTGGGTGGTGGTAGGCACTGTGAGAGTAGAGTATCTTGCCCAAGAACATAAAAAAATGTCCCCTGCCAGGGCTCGAACACAGACCTCTTGATTCAGAGACGAGCACACCAACCATGAGGCCACTGCACCTCCCACCATCCCAGTAATGCTAGTGCCAAAAGCTTACACTAAGTCTTCTCAAAGTTTCTGTCAAGGGAAAAAGGTGTGATAATGTGCTAATTTATGTGTGAATGTACAAGAATGCACGTACAAGAATGTGCATGAGTGAATAAGAGCATGAATAAGTATGTAATTTATGCGTCCTTAGTCAGTTGTATCATGTAACGCGACGGTTAGGATCTCTTAAGCATTAAAGCGTTTCTTCTTCAAATGTTCTTCTCATGCTGTTAAAGATCTGTTAAAACAAAAGGTTGCCTAAGAGTAACAAAATATGAGGGTGTCCAAAATTCTTAATAGGATACTTGGTGAAATATATTATATCAAGGATATCTAGTTAAACGACAATGCTGTTAAATAATAATAGTAATCTAATAATTTTTATAGCATTATTTACATACACTGATCAATAGCAGTTAACAATAAATTCATCGAAGACTAAATAAGAAAAATATACACCTATTGCAATAGCTGAGTCGAGAAGTAATACAGGCATGGACAATACACATACTACCCTGACATAGATATTTCTTATTTTTTCTAATATTATGTAAATGAAAGAATGCACTGCTGCATGCCTTGGTGATATGCGTAGACATGGACATTTTTTCACCAAACCAGAATCCTAAATTTCAAGCACAGGCGACAAAGTAATGTCATTATCACCAATGTGTAAACAAATGTTGTGATCTAGCTTATTTTGCTGATACCGTGTTCCAATTTATAACACCTCGGTTTTGCCATCATTGAGTAGGAGTCTATCATAAATCATCCAGCTTCGAATATCTGCAATACACTTTTCCAGAGCCCTCACTCCAACATCTTGACTGACTTGGCCATCTGGCTTGGAGCTTAAATGAAGCTGAGTGTCGTCAGTAATGTCACAATATTGCCTTCTATGTTCTTTGTTTAACAAAGAGCCATCATTGATGTGAAGTTTATATGAAATAATTCATAAAACATACAGCTTCGAATATCTGCAATACACCTTTCCAGAGCCCTCACTCCAACATCTTGACTGACTTGGCCATCTGGCTTGGAGCTTAAATGAAGCTGAGTGTCGTCAGTAATGTCACAATATTGCCTTCTATGTTCTTTGTTTAACAACGCAACGGTACTACACGACAACACGAGCGGCCAACATGGCGGATACCAGAGGTTCTACTTCAAGCTCCCGAGGCCCGATGGGAGCACGCGGCATGACGTAATATGACATCTCCCTTCCTTTAAATTTAACAACAACAACAACGAAATGGAACGTATTCTATCCCTGGAACATTACAATACTAGTCAAAAGGGACATTCCTCAATGCACTTATTCTAATAATCCTATTCCTCTGTGTCCTTATTACTCGGGCTTCCGTAGGAAAGCCCGAGTCTTAGGGGGGTCATGGTCGTAGGCGTTCCATGCGTAGACCATGGAAACTGGGGACGAGAAAAGCGACATTGCTCGCTCTTCGTGACAGAATGCGGTGTTTTGCGAAGAAAGTTTTGGCAAGAATCGCGCCTTATACGTTCATCTCACACACAAAGATGTCGATCGTTTTCAGAAAGGGTCGGTCCACGAATTTTATTGCTTGAAAGCCAGCCAGGTAGGCTGGTAAGTTCACGCTCGATACGTTCTCATGAGATAACAATTAACTGAGCCGATTGCGGTATGAGTTCAATCTACGAAAACACTGGCAAAAAATAGGCAGTCAATGACGGTATGTGGCTACTGCTATTATTATTTAGAACATTGCAGTAAAAAAAAATCATATTGCAATAAAACGAGCTAAATACGAAAACGTTTTTGGACTCGTAGCTCATTAAAAACATGTGACTTGTTTCTTGCACCGCGCAAAA